TTAAAAAAAAACCTTCCGACTTTTTTCCCGGTACATTCCCCCCCCCCCCCCCCCCCCCCCCTCCCGACAACAGCGTGATTCGCCGGGCGCCAACAGCACGGCAACAACCCCCTTCTCTCGTCGTTGCCTTTACGTTGTCCCCTGTTGTTGTTGGCGCGCCCCTCGTGACGCTGCTTCCCGCGACCGCGTGTGTCTGTTTTGCCTGGTCTTGTCGTCGTCGTCATCGTCGTCTCTGGCCTTACCGCGGGGAAAAGACGGCGCGTCCGAGCTGCTCGAAGCCAAGGAATCGCTACGGTGTTTCCTGGCTCCCCTGGGGGGCTACGAGACGCAGCAAGCCCTCGCCGCGAGCGCGGCTCAATCGGTGAGAGAAGCCCGCCGCTTCACGGCAAGCGTGCTTGCTCACAAGAATTGTTCGGTTTGCACTCATTTCTTGATTTTTCTCGGTGTGCTCACAGTTGTTTTGTTCGGTGTGCACCTCCATAGCCTTTTTTTGCTTTGCCTCAAGTGCGATTTGAGCGCATCCCGTACGAGCCAAGCTTGATCCGGTCGTTCTCGACACCACGAAGAATAGAGCGACCTCACCCCCCCCCCCTATCGTCTAACGACTACCGCATGCGTTTACATCAGTACGCTCCCCACCCCTCGCCGGAAAAAGAAACGCACGAACCGTCGAGACCTCCAACAGCAGTGGAACGAACCGCATTCGAAAAAAAAGCCTCGGCGAAAAAATTAACTGATAATACACCCCCCATCCTCGGTGGTAACGCGGCCATCATGTGCGGGTAAAGTCACACACCACGCTCACCCACGCCTGGATTGTTCCTAAACTAACCGCTCTTAGCAACCCACGAGTGCTACCGCTACCGGCACTGCTGTGAGCGGTTTCGCAGGTGGTTAAAAGACGCAAAACTAGCGGCGAATAATTTTGCTCTGAGCGTGCTGTTCAAGCTTTCGTGTGCATGTCCGAGGATTCACTCATCAGTTTCGCTCTGAGTGTGCTGTTCAAGCCACCGTGCGTATACACCTCACGTGTCCTGGAAACGAAACAAAACAGGTGACTGGTCTGCTCCGCGAAAGGCGAGACACCGTCGAGATGGCCATGTACAAGAGCGGGTTTCTTGGGGGCAGGCCGCAGGGAGGGGTTCCGCCAAGCAAAAGGTAGGTACCCCACCTGGCGGGTGGTGGGCTGGAGGTCGTTGTGCGGCAAAAGGGACGATGCCCGGACCAATAGAAGAGCGAGGCGTTACAGCGGTATTAACCAGATGCGGTGGTGATCCCGATATACCGTACCGTGGTACCGAGTAGTGCGGGTCCCGATAAACCGCGGGAAAAATCGCTTGTCACGGGATGTGACTACCATACTTGAATCAATATATTCCGGAACACTCGACAGCGCGGTGACACGGTTTACCGCGGTTGTTTTTTGCTTGTCGCTAAACCGCGGTATATCGGGACGATCGCTGTACCACCGATAGGAGTAAATCCGTGGGAAAACCGTGTCCGACAGATATGATCCTCGTTAGCGCGTACCCGACAAGCCGGCACTGTTTGATGCTGCTGCTGCTGCTGCTGCTGCTGCTGTGGTTGTCGTCCTATCTCGTTTAGCCTCGCCGCTGGCATGGATGGGGGCGGCAAATAACGCTTTTGATGGGGAGCAAAGGGCCCCACGTTGAAACTATTGAGCAAGAAAGAGTCTAGAGCGATTGCGCCCGCGGTAGGCACCACGGCCGCTGTGCCTTATCCCCCTTTCAGCCCAGATGAAGGGCCATCGGCCATCACTTCTGAACCCACCTACGTTACTCTTTGACATACCCAGCACTACGACTCGGTAGTATTTCTCTTACCCCTTCCCGTGGCCCCCCAACAATCCCCGGAATCCTAGGTACGAAGATATGGACTGGGTGAGAGGGCGGGCGCCAGATGCCCTCCTGTTCCTCAAGGCCCTGGTCAAGGCGCCCCCCAGCGGCCTCTCCGTTTGGCGACCCCCCCTCACGGCGACGGTGTTGGGGAGCGATCGGCGTGTTAAGCTCTCTCGCAGCAACCTCGAATCGAGGTCCTCGGAGGCGTCTGCCGCCACCGCCAACGTTTCATCGGAGGAGGAAGACGACAGCGATGCCGCCGCTGCTGCCGCTGGTGGTGGTGGTGGTGGTGGTGGTGGTGTTGGTATGGCAACGGTGGCCGGCGGCGGCCTGGGTTCGACGGAAGGGGGGCAGGGCACGACCGCACGGCAGAGCAGCAGCTGCTACTGCAGCAGCAGCAGCAGCAGCAGCAGCAGTAGCAGCAGCAACTCGAGTGCTACGGGAAAGAAGTCGGCTTTGTCAGATGAGGCCAGTTCCGCCTCCGCCGCTGTTGTCGGTGAGGGGGTCAGTGGTGTGGGGGCGCCATCGATCATGGAGGATGTCGTGGAGGCGTTGACGCCGAGGGCGTTGGCGGAGAGGGCGTTGCTGGCCCCCCTACGCGACGTCGGGACCATAGCGGGGGCCCTGCGGAACGGCGTCGGGTCCAGCCTTCGAGAGATGGCAGCGGCCAGGTGATTTTTCCGAAAACCAAAGTCAATTTCTTTTGTGATTGTATTGGGACATGTTTCTGGCGATGGCAGCCTCTTTCTGTTTTCTTGGGAAGTGTGTGCCAACCTTTTTGGGGTGGTTGGCCTGTGACCACGGACGATGTCCGCGTCAGTCGTACCAGTACGGACGTTGGGAGGTACTGAGCAGAGATCCAACGTTTTTTTTTATATGAAGGCAACAACACTACCAGCAACGGCATCACACGATACTCTCGTTCTGGTTGCCAAGAGCAACGGCGAAGTGCATCGTGGCAACAGCCCTGACGGTGTGTGTAACCTCTTTGCTATTTTTGGCCCGCGAAATCCACACCGGACGCCTGTCCCCCTCCCTCCCTCCCTCGGTGTCGTATGTACTTGTTGCACCCGTGCGCTCGCTCGCTCCCGCCGCCCAGAGCCGCGAAGGACCTCTCGGACCTCATACTACAAGAGGCAGAATCCTCGGCGGTGGCCGCGGCAGCGGCAGCAGCAGCCGCAAAGGGAGGCGGGACCCGTAAAGCATCCCCGTCTCGCAGGGGAGGAGGAGGGGTTGGTGCAGGGGGAGGAGGCGGAGGGCTCGACGGGGCTGGAGGCGGAACGAAGCCACGTGGAGGTAGGAAGAAGAAGAAGCCCAAGAAAAAGCGCGGCGGCGGCGGCGGCGGCGGCGGCGGCGGCACCGCTTCGACCACTTCGACCGTCGAGCCGGGGGCGGCAGCAGCAGCAACAGTCGGGTCTTGTTTGCGTGCCGGGGCACGAGGGCGAACGGGTCCCGAAGGAGGGGAACGGGTCCGCCGTGGGGGGGGAGCGGCTGTTGTTGTTGCGCCGAGCGACGGTGGGTTTTCCAGCGACTCGTCGGAAGGCGGCACGGTTGTGACGGGGGCAAAGCGAGCGACGCGTGGTCAGGTGGGGGCCAGGGAGGGAGAAGGGGACGAGTCACTCGACGATGAGGAGGAGCAGCGAGGCGTGGTGAAGAAGCTGCGGTGGAGGACAGAGGTCGGCCGAACGATGTGAGTGTCTTTTTTTGTTCATCTCTCTCTCTCTCTCTCTCTCTCTCTCTCTCTCTTGTTGCTTTTCTCGCCACCGTTTGGCTGACGTCTCTCCCCCTGGTTGTCTTTTACTGTGTTTCCGGCCCGCCTTTGTCGAGCAGTTCACCAAGGCACTGGCTACGTTTTCTGCTTCAGCAGGACATCACTCGCGTTACCCTTGGGAGGCCTTGCTCTGTCTATCTCCCCCTATCAATCTTTTCTGCTCCAACAAACACATCCCGATAGACTCCTAAAACTACCGTGGTAACCCCCTCATTGTCACACCTTCTTCTTCCCTTACTTGTTTCTTCTTGCTCTCTGCCATTAGAGCTGTAGCATTAACTCCCTCATTGACGCACCTTCTTGTTCACGTATTGGTTTTCTCTTGCTCTCTACCTCCCTCTCCCCCTCCGCCCTTCCCCCCCTCTTCCCTTTGCGTGATTCATATCAGCCCGAGCACAAGACCCGCGGCGGCGAGGCCACCCGCGAGCGTGGCGCCCGTCTCCTCTACTGGCGACGACGACGGGTTCGTCAGTCCCCTGGACCTCAGGCGGAAGGCCAAGCTTCGAGGTCTAGCCCACGCCCTCGTCCTGGACACGGTAGAAGCCGCCCTGGCGCAGTGCAAGCCGCCGCCCCCGCCCCCCGGCGGCAGGAAGTCGTCGACACAGCAGCCTCCGCCGCCTCTGGCGAATAACCGGGGTGCTGCGGCAGCCGTGAAACGCACGGCAGCAGCGCCAGCGGTGGCTGCCGGTACGACTATTGCCGATGCGAAGACGGAGTCTCGCCCAGGAGCAGCAGTAGTAGCAACCATATCGCGAACGGCGGCGGCGGCGGCGGCGGGGATCCCGGATGCGCCGCTCTCAGCGAGACGGTGGCCGTCTCCCGAACAGGCGACCGCCCACCCGCTCTGGAAGATCCCGGCCGTGGCGGCAGGCCCGCCGGAGCCCACGATACCCCCGGATGCCGGCGCCGGTACGGTCCGCGGGGCCGCGGTGATGCCCCGCCCCGCGGCGGGGGTCGGCTCTTCCGGTAGCAGCGAAGGCGTTCGGTCGCCGTCGCTGGTGGGGTCGAGGTCGTCTCCGCGCCCCCCCCCCGTTTCGAGGCGGCGGGAGGGGAGGAGGGAGCTCGCCGTTAACGACGCGGACGAGAGGATGTCGTGCTCGAGCTTCGACAGCCTGGATGTCCGGGTGGATGACCAGGTGGGGAGGGAGATTCGTCTACGCCGCATGTGCCGCAATGCTTAGTATGATAGCAGCAGCGTTATTTACGTAGTCTCATCTATTTTATGCGGGATAAGTTAAAGTAGCAGCAGCGCTATGTCGTCTCAAGTTTTTGTCGCGGGATGAGTTGGGATGTTGTCTAGTTTTAAGAGTCGGGTTGATTTGGATTCCGTTTCCCTACCTCTTTGACTGTCTGTCCGCCTGTGTATGAAACCCCGTTGCTAACAACATACCCAGCGCACTTGTGGCGCACGTCATTCAACTTCAGACCCCTTAATCAGATGCTTGTATTCCCCTCTGGCGGTGCTCGCACTATTGCAAACAGGACTTCGCGGATATCTTGGACACGGCCTACCGGCCCGCGCGAATGCCCGCACAACTACGAGGGCAGCAGCGGGCGGCGGCGGCTGCATTCACGGCGCTGAGGCAGCCGCGAGCCGTAGCACCGGGGTATTTCATCTCCCCGTCGTCTCCGCGACCACGCCAGACTAACCCCGGGCCACCGCCCGCCCTGCCCACGGCCGCGGCCGCGGCGTTCCACCACCATGGCATGGCGCTGGACTGGCGGAACTGCTACGGGGGTAGGGGCGACGGGACGGCGGCGAGGAGGGGGGACGACGCCGCCTCATCGACGGTGGCGACGGCGGAATCCGATGAAGGGAGCGCTGGCAACGGCGACGATAGCGGTGCCACGCCGCGCAACAGCAACTCCCCCGTAAGGGGGTTAGAGGCGTCGGTCGGGCGTTTCGCGCCGCAGATGGGCGGCGGCAGCACTTCCTTCTTTGGAGGGCAGGGCCTGTTCATGTGGCCGCCCTCGATGGTCGGACGGGCGGACGAACGGTCGGGCGCCTGGGGAGGGGGTGGGGGGAGCGTGAACGCGCTGGGTTCTTGGGGTGGTGTAGGAGGCGGCGGGGGTGCGGCCGTCGGTGACGGTGATGCGAGTCTTGGCGAGGAGAGTGAGGATCGTTCCCCTGAACCGGGAGCTGCGGTTTCGACCGCTCAGGGAGAGGAGGACCAAGCGGACCAAGACTTGGAGGTGGGGGGACTGGTGGACGGTGAAAAACCGACCCACGAAAATGGTGAAGAGGCGGAGAAGGAGGAGGAGGAGGAGGAGAACAAGGAAGCAGGGAAGCCGATGGTTACAGACGGGCTAGTCCAAGGAGACCAAAAGCACGAAGAAGATGTTGCCGCCGTCGCCACCGCCGATGGCGACGACAATGGCGACAGCGGCGGCTTGAATGCTAGCGTCTCCGTCAAGGAGGAGGAGGAGGAGGAGGAGGAGGTGGGGAAGGCCGTTCCCGACACACAGAAGCAGTCGGGCGCCGACGCTCTGCCGCCACCAGGAGACGGAGAGTTGGACGATGCCGAGGAGGAAACGCCCGCCTGGACAGATGACCCCGAAGGCGACGGCGACGGACGCCTGGATGACGGGCATGATGCGGCTACCGGCCGGCCTTCGCCAGGAGCCGTCGTGCAGAAGAGGCCTTCGCCAGAAGCCGTCGTGCAGAAGAAGCACGTACCGATCGTTAGCGCACCTCCGGCAGCATCGGCGGAGGAAGATGATCCAGAACAAGCCCCGGCGGCGCCAGCGGCGACAGAGACAGCAACGGGCACCGCGGCCGCGGCCGACCAGCACACGCCTTTCCCCGCCCCGGCAGCAGCAGCGACAGAGACAGCATCGACCGGGAAAACGTGCTGTTCGTGCGCCTGTCACGTGTTGACCGTGGCGCGGGTCCCGCCCACGCCCCCACGGCGACTGAGCCGTCGGCAGCAACGCAGGAGAGCGTCGGCCCCCGAGAAGCAAGCGCCGCTATCGGCAACTGGCGTGAGCGGCGGTAACAGCAATGACGCAGCAGTGGAGGGCCACGGTGGCGTGATGAGCAGTACGGCCAGCGTGCCCAGCATGGGGCGAGTGCGCCAGACTCGAGCACCTACCAGCCGCAACCTTAGCGAGGAGTCCCGCCGCCGCCCTATCCTTGCCCAACACCAGCCCGCGATGCTCGCTCCTAACGGCGCAGACGGCGGCGGTGGCCGCGTCGCATCCCCCGACCGCAAGCACGACTACAGCGCGGGGACCCCTCCGCGCACGGAGAGGCCGCAGCCGAGGTCTGCGAGCAGGGGACGCGGCGGCGGCGGCGGCGGCGGTACGGGCGGCGGCGGTGGCGGCAGTGGGTCCTGCACGTCCACCCCGGCCCCGCGGCCTTCTGCGAACGTGCGCCGTCGAAGGAGCGAGTCCGGCCTGGGGTCACTGGCGGCGGTGACAACCGCCAAGACCACGCCGGCGGGCAGCAGCCGGTATAGCGACGGGTACCCGGGGTCTGCAGGCGGCGGCGGCGGCGGCGGCGGCGGCGGGAAGATGCGGAGCAAGCGAGCCAGCTCCGAGTCCAACGCCTCCAACGTTGCGGCCGCGGCAGCAGCGGCCACCGGTGGCGGGGGCGGCGGAATCCCGCCCGCTTGGACGTGGAAGGGCTACCTCAACAACGGCAGCACCGGGAGCGCCGCCGCCGCCGTGGCCGACGGCGTTGACGCCGGCGGCGACGGCCGTGGCTGGTCGTCGACGCGCGAACGGAGCGGCAGCGACGCCGGGGGCACTCCCCTGATAGAAGTGGCGGGGTGGGATCGGGATGCCGCTGCCGGAGGAGGCAGCGGACAAGGCCGCTTCCCTTGGAGGGCAGGGCGTGTCGGCGGCGGCAGCGGCGGCGGCGGGGGCGGCGGCGGGCGGGAAGAACAAGGCCCGTCCATGTTTCGCTGCCGGGGGGGCTCGTGGGACTCGGACCCCCGCGACGGGTTCGACTTCAGGATGGACCGCGACCTCAACAGCGGGAGGGCCGGGGGAAGGGCGAGCACGAGGTCGGCGCCGAAGCGGGTCTCGACGCGGCGGATCTTTCCGGGGGGCGCGAGGAGCATGTCGGAGGCGGCCGTACGCCGGTTGGCCGACCCGGTGCAGCGGCGGGCCGGGACGGGCAAGGGTAAGGCGTACCAAAGACTTGAATACAACAATATGCGCAAGAGATCAAATCGCCGAACCGGCATCTGGCCCATTTGTATGAATCTCCGCTGTTGTCCACTCGAGCCGTCTCCAGTATACGTGCGCAGAGTTTTGGTACGGATTGCGAGCGCTAAACTGGCCCCCATCAACAAGACACGCGGCCCTTTTCGGGCCAAGTGAAATGGCGGGAGGCTTGACACCTACGTCCCGAAGGGAGACCTTGTATGTATTGTTTTGTTCTGTTCTAAGGTGTTCTGTTCCTCAGAGGATCTCTTCAGTGAGGACTCCAAACGCGCGCGCGGAGGTTCTTTCTTGTTTTGGAGGAGGTAATACGCGCACGCTGGCGGTTCAAGCGTGAAACTAAAGACCTTCAACAACACTAGTTTTTTTTTTTTTTTCTGTCTTGCTTTGGGGAGAGGATATTGGTGACGCAAGACACTTAACAAGTCCACTGTCGAGGTTTGAAGTGCGGAGGAAAAATGTTTTGAAGTGGAAGGGCTGAAGAAGTGTGTGGGAAAGTTCGTCGAGTCGCCCCTGCCTCTAAGCCGAGCGTTGAACGGGCGGGCAGCGAGTATTTCCAAGTCCCTTCTTGCCCCCCCCCTCACCAAGATGACCGTGATTTTGAGAACCCGCGGCTGGGATCTCCTGTGGACTGTTGGGTTGGCACTCATCCATGATTGACGGCACGGTCAAGCGTTTCTTTTTGTTTGTTCTCCACTCCGTGTTTCTTTTTTACCCCTCCAGCGAGGTCAATGGTCTAACGACTACGGCATGCACGACTATGAGTACCCCTTCCCCCCCCCTGGGAACAATGCTCCGTCCTCTCGACGACGTGTGGTGCATGGTCTAGCCGCTAAGGCATGCAAAACATAAGAGTACCCCCCACCCACTCCCACCCCTTCCCTACGCCTGTCCTCTCCTGGACCATCTCTACCTCCGTGTGAAAGCTCGAGCAGGTTGGAGCTCCGACGGCGAACTGGGGGATGCGTCCGTGGACGGGGAAGGGGGGGACCAAGGGGACCAAGGAGACTTGTTCCTACGGGTGTACCCGGGGGAAGATACCAACAGGTACAGTACCGTACCACGGCGGTAGTAGTAGTAAGAGTGGCGAGCAAT